ATCGAATAATAATAAATCCAAACGATTAAAAAAAAAACTTTAAAGATTGATTGATAGTATGATATTACAGTATGAATCATTTAAATGTGAATATAAAAATAAAAAGCTGGGAAACGAAATCAAATAAGTTGTTGCGAGTCTCCTCCTCCTTCCACGGATACTGTGAAGAGAAATAAGAGCAAAGGTATAAAAAATGGGTCAGCTCGCTCTTCAGAGACTCCCGCCGGTAGCTTCGCTTCCAAGACGCCCTCCTTCTCTTCCGCCACCGTCTTTGGCTTCTCCGTCCATTCCTTCCGCCTCTCGTCGCCCCCTCCGTCACGGATTCTACGTCGCCAGGTTTTCTCATTTTCTCTTGCTGCTGTGTTTGTGACTCTGTTTTTTCTTTTGTTATGGATTCGAATTTCAATTAAACAGATATATTTTGATTATTTTTTTGTTTCACGTTTGAGGATATATTTCCGGTTCACTGAGAAATTGGAGAAAATGAGAAACTGATTTGTTTTTCGGTTGATGTAGTTTGTGAATCAATTGTTGTTTCTTTGTGCTGTTTAGTTGTCTTCCTTTTGTTGATGAATGTGTATTTTCGGTAAATGAATGTGTTCTCTATGGTTTTAGTGAATTAGCTTCTGCTCTTTGGCCTTCTTGCTTATTGTTGCCTAATCTTGTACAGAAAAGCCAGTTACTATCTTTTTCTTATTGTTGCGTAATCATGAAAAGTTGTGCCTGGTCATCCATTTGTATCCTCATCCAAATATTTCTTGATGTTGTGTTGTATTATTTGTTACATTCATGAACTTTTCCCCTAATCTTGTTGTCTCTTGTTTGTGACAAAATAGAGCAATGTCATCCCACATTGTCGGGTATCCCCGTATTGGGCCAAAGAGAGAGCTTAAGTTTGCGTTGGAGTCCTTCTGGGATGGGAAAACCAGTGTCGAGGAGTTGCAAAATGTTGCTGCTAACCTGAGAAAATCCATATGGAAACATATGGCTGATGCTGGAATCAAATATATTCCCAGCAACACCTTCTCATACTATGATCAAATGTTGGATACCACAGCGATGCTTGGGGCTGTTCCCCCTAGATATGGTTGGGAAGGTGGTGAGATCGGGTTTGATAATTACTTCTCCATGGCCCGGGGAAACGCTGCTGTTCCTGCTATGGAAATGACCAAATGGTTTGATACGAACTAGTAAGTAATGAGTCATCTTTCTTACCTGTTTGTAAAGTTTCTCTCTCGGTCATAATAAATTCTTTTACAGCCATTTCATTGTTCCTGAGTTGGGTCCTGATGTCAAATTCTCCTATGCATCTCACAAGGCTGTGGTTGAATTTAAGGAGGCGAAAGCAGTAAGTTGTCTGGAACCTTTCTCTCTTATTTTTCCTGATATAGATCTTAGTTGAGCTGTTGCTGCAGTTTTGATGTGGGCATCTAGATGATTTATGGTATTGCTTTTGCTTTTATAATTCTCTTCAGCTTTCCTCTTTTTGGCCCGAGGCTCTTATTCACAGCTATGCTTTTGGCTGTTCATGGCACAGCTTGGCATAGACACAGTTCCTGTTCTCATTGGTCCCATGACCTACTTGCTCCTGTCGAAGCGAGCAAAGGGTGTTGAAAAATCATTCTGCCTACTTTCTCTGATTGACAAGATTCTTCCTATCTACAAGTAAGAATATTTTGAAGCCAACTGCGAGATTTTTAGAATTTAGCTAGACCAAGATAAACTTGAATGATAAATTTTCATTTGGATAATATGTATCTGTGGTGATTATTTTGACAGGGAAGTTTTGGCTGACCTCAAATCTGCTGGTGCTCGATGGATTCAGTTTGATGAACCTATACTTGTGATGGACCTTGATACCAGCCAATTGCAGGCATTTTCTGATGCCTACTCTCACATGGAGTTGTCTTTGGCGGGCTTGAACGTTCTTATTGCCACATACTTTGCTGATGTTCCTGCTGAAGCATACAAGACATTAACGTCTTTGAAATGTGTAACTGGCTTTGGATTTGACCTTGTTCGTGGACTGGAGACTCTTGATTTAATAAAAGTGAATTTTCCTCGTGGAAAGCTACTATTTGCTGGAGTTGTTGATGGAAGGAACATTTGGGCGAATGATCTTTTTGCTTCACTCAAGACATTACAGACTCTTGAAGACATTGTTGGAAAAGGTATCAGTACAAAAATATTAAAAATTGATTGCTTTCACTTCTTTATCCTACTTAGCTTCAGAATGAATGTAAACCTTTCTCTTCTCTTTGCAGAAAAAGTTGTGGTCTCTACATCTTGCTCTCTACTCCATACGGCTGTGGACTTGGTGAATGAAATGAAACTTGATAAAGAACTAAAATCATGGCTTGCATTTGCTGCACAAAAGGTCATTGAAGTTAATGCACTTGCCAAATCATTCTCTGGAGTTAAGGATGAGGTACATTTTTGCTTATTACATTATGTACAACTTTCAAGGTATACTATCTTGGAGCATGCTGTAGTAGGTTCTGTGTTTCTAGTTTTAGAAGGTCCTTTGGTTATTATTTCTTCCCACGGTTAAATTTATTAGCTTAAATATTTGTCTGTGTGACTGCAACTGCGCAATGAATTTATATCTCAGTTACTGGATTTTTACCTGATCTAATGGATCAATTGGGACTCCGCTTTTCTTTGATACAGAAGTAGTTAACCTTCAGCATTGTATTGTCTTGGTCCCTTTGTAGACATTGTTTGCTTCCAATTCCATGCGTCAAGCTTCTAGAAGATCATCTCCAAGGGTGACAAATGCATCTGTACAACAGGCTGTAAGGAGTTTTCTAACAAATTGCTCTTCCACATTTTGTACCCTGGACATGTATCTTAAATTACTTTCTTACTCAGGTTGCTGAAGTAAAAAAATCTGATCACCGCCGTTCTACAGAAGTAAGTGTTAGGCTACAAGCCCAGCAGAAGAAGCTAAACCTTCCTACTCTTCCAACAACCACAATTGGATCTTTTCCTCAGACCGCGGATCTCAGACGGATACGCAGGGAATTCAAGGCTAAAAAGTAGGCCTAGCTAATCCGATGATGCTTCTGACAAAAAAATTTTTTTGCTAAACATGCCATTATTCTAATTATCATGCATCCACTGCATTTGCAGGATATCGGAAAATGAATATGTCCAGGCTATCAAAGAGGAAATTGCAAAGGTTGTCAAGCTTCAGGAAGAGCTTGGGATTGATGTTTTGGTACACGGGGAGGCAGAGGTGGCAATATACATAAACCTAAGTTTATTATGTGAATTATTCCATTATTTACCCCCCTGATGTCCCATAGTCCTGCAGAGAAACGATATGGTGGAGTTTTTTGGTGAGCAACTGTCTGGCTTTGCTTTCACTTCGAATGGGTGGGTCCAATCATATGGGTCCCGCGGTGTCAAGCCGCCAATTATATATGGTGATGTCACACGACCAAAGGCAATGACTGTCTTCTGGTCGTCAATGGCACAGAAAATGACCCAACGCCCTATGAAGGGGATGCTCACTGGCCCTGTTACAATTCTTAATTGGTCCTTTGTTAGAAATGACCAACCCAGGTGTGAAAACTAAGTCTAACAAAATTTCTTTCACTCTATTCGATGGTATTCCGTTTCACCATGATTGTTTATAGGCATGAGACGTGTTTCCAAATTGCACTTGCCATTAAAGATGAGGTTCAGGAACTTGAGAGGGCTGGTGTTTCTGTTATCCAGATCGACGAAGCTGCATTAAGAGAGGGATTGCCTCTCAGGAAATCCGAGCAAGAATTTTACCTTGACTGGGCCGTCCACGCATTCAGAATCACAAACTGCGGTGTGCAAGACACTACTCAGGTCATTGTACTTTTCCTTTCCACATAAAATAATATTTATACCAGTATGTTGAGCGTGTGGTCTCTGGCATTTTCGTGGACAATACAACGATAAAATGGAACGTGATATCAAGATGAAGGATGTGAAACAGTGACTGTATTATGGGAGATCTAATTTGTTCAATAAGGTTTGTTTATTTAAATGAGACCTTTGACTCATGCTCTCCTTGTACTTCATGCAGATTCACACCCACATGTGCTACTCAAATTTTAACGACATCATCCACTCAATTATAAATATGGATGCTGATGTGATCACTATTGAGAACTCACGGTCAGATGAGAAGCTCTTATCAGTCTTCCATGAAGGAGTGAAATACGGTGCTGGAATCGGTCCAGGGGTATATGACATTCACTCTCCTCGTATCCCATCTGCTGAGGAAATAGCTGACCGTATCAACAAGATGCTTGCGGTTCTGGACAGCAAAGTCCTTTGGGTGAACCCTGACTGTGGCCTAAAGACACGAAAGTACTCTGAAGTGAAATCCGCACTTAGCAACATGGTTGCTGCTGCCAAGCTAATCCGCTCTCAGCTAAATAAGCCATAAAGCCGTTCCTCAAGTAAGTTTTGCTCATACCATCACTTTCTTCTCTCTCTAAAGCTTTTATTTATAAGCTATAACCATTGATTAGGTTATAAATAAATGGATTAAGTCTTGTCATCTTATTATTTTGTAGAATCTCTCCACTTTTAGTTTTTTTTTTTTAAATCAGTTAGCGACTCATTTAGGATTGGCACTTTTTTAACAATTCTGATTGTTTTCGTCAATTCTAGTGAAACTTTCTGGCACTGGAATTTAAGGCTTATTAGAAATCTGTAAAATGGAATGGAGTTTTATTATTCTGGTCACACATTTTTGTACAAGACATATAGAGGTGAGTTATCAAATTTTATTTATTCTCTTCATGAGTAATCTCATACATTGTGAGACGCGATGTAAGGGTCAATCACTCCTCGGATTTCCACACAAGGGATGAGCGTACTGCATTTCTCGCATACAGTAAGATTAGCAGCACCAATGAAATCGAAGCAGCCAAATTGCAAAGTAACTGTCTTTTGTTCTTAGCTTCCTTTACCACATTTCCAGTTGCCTCTTTGTACTTCTCGAACCATTTCGCTCCAACTTTGTCTTTCTCCTCATCCTTGGAACTCAAAGGTCCTCTAGGCTCACCAATTAATTCCTTTTTTCCACTCTGTAGTTCCCTTGCTTTTTGCTGTGCATCATGTTTCAGCTGATCGATTTTGTCACCAACCTTTGCTTTTAAACCCTGGCCTTGTTTTGTCTCGTGGTGATCACGGTGTTTAATGAACACCGGTGGTTTGACTGGTGACAGTGGCTTAGTTTGAGGGATTTCTGTCTTCACTTTGGGATGCCGGATGTAGAGTTTGTTATCCTTGAATATAGCTGAAACCGAGTCAATGTCAGCGGTCAAGGGAACAGGAATTTCCTGGTGGAAACGAATCCATTTGTTTCCGCCAGTTGGACGTTCTCCACTCAATCTTAGCTTCCTTGTTGTGGTTACCGCCACCTTAAGTTGTTCTCTCTTGAATCCTAACCACAGAAAACAATGCTTATGAACATTCTTGCTTTAACTAAACCATGTCTCTCTATTATTTGTGCTTAATGTAGAAAAAGGAAAATGAATAAACAAGATTGAGAAGAAGAAAACAAACCTGGAAGATCAGCGACAAGGACCTCGGCGTCTGGTTCAGAGGTCCATCTAGTTGCAGGCTCGAAATTTTGGTAAACTCGTTCCGTTCCAAAGTTAGTCATTCTCTCTCTCTCTCTTTTGTTTCTTTGTGGTTGCTCTGTTTTCTTTGGTTTATAAAGGAATGTTTTTTGTTTTGTGAGAGAGTAGAGGAAAGATCTCTATGGTTTTATAGGCAAAGAAGATTATTAGGCAACAAAGAGATTTGGTTTTAGTTTGAAGCAACGAAGGCTTAATTCTTCGGGTTTTCCATTTCCTCTTTGTCTTCTTTGAGTTTTCTTTGTCTTGAAGATTTTTGTGATTCTTTGGATTGAGTTTAATATTAAGTATCCCTTTTTCTTTGTCTGTCGACAAAATTAGAGTTTTAAAAATATGGA